CTAGTAGTTGGGTATTCAGCTTGTAGTTCGGACCAAACACATCAGCATACATTATATTTAAATTACAAGCTAGTAGTTGGGTATTCAGCTTGTAGTTCGGACCAAACACACCAGCATACATTATATTTGAATTACAAGCTAGTAGTTGGGTATTCAGCTTGTAGTTCGGACCAAATACACCAGCATACATAATATTTGAATTACAAGCTAGTAGTTGGGTATTCAGCTTGTAGTTCGGACCAAATACACCAGCATACATAATATTTGAATTACAAGCTAGTAGTTGGGTATTCAGCTTGTAGTTCGGACCAAATACATCAGCATACATTATATTTGAATTACAAGCTAGTAGTTGGGTATTCAGCTTGTTGATCGGACCAAATACATCAGCATACATGTCAGCTGACAAAATACATCAGCTAGATAATATTTTGTATGCTGGTGTATTTGGTCCAAACTACAAGCTGAATACCCAACTACTAGCTTGTAATTCAAATATTATGTATGCTGATGTATTTTTTCCGAACTACAAGCTGAATACCCAACTACTAGCTTGTAATTCAAATATTATGTATGCTGGTGTATTTAGTCCGAACTACAATCTGAATACACAACTACTAGCCCTTAATTCAAATATTATGTATGCTGATGTATTTGGTCAGAACTACAAGATGAATACCCAACTACTAGCTCGTAATTCAAATTTAACGTATCCTGGTGTATCTGGTCCGAACTTCAAGCTGAATACTAAACTACTAGCTTGTAATTCAAATATTATGTATGCTGGCGTATTTGGTCCGAACTACAAGCTGAATACCCAACTACTAGCTTGTAATTGGGGAATTACAAGCTGAACTACGATGTACAATGTACAAGCCAACTTCACATACCTACTTTTTATCAATTGCATAGTTATGTGTACGCAGTATCTGGATTTTTTTAGAGTGTACGCAATATCATAATCTCTGTTTTCTGTAAATAGTGAGTTTAAATACGTTTTGAGTACAAATGAATTGGAACGAAGGTTGAAAATATATTTTTGAAAAGGATTCTGCAACAGAATAACTTCCAGCCGTTTAAAACGGCCAGTTTAATCGATATTTGCTCATTTTCTGTAACATTTCAACGCCGGGTGTACGCACTATCCAGAATCAAAATCGCATTCAACGCGAAATACTGACAAAACAGGAAAGAGTTACTTCAAGACATTTTGTATATAAAAACTAGAAGTTAGGACATCTTCTTTGCAAAACAAATTAAATTCATACATTTTCTGATTTCTTCACACCACTCGTTTTTCTTCGAAATACCGGCCTATGAAGTGTTCGCGGTATCAGAACTTTAAGGATGCGCGCGCATGGATTAACCCCCTTGTATTTTAGGTTACAATGATACTTTCTTTTTTTATTTAAGTTAATTGTTTGCTGATTTAAGTATGGCTGGGTTGGAGTGTTTTTAGTCAAGCTGACACTGCTCTGTAAAGGTTGTGTATCGGCGTTGCAGGACAACTTCAGGTGTCCCTTTGCCAATTTTTTCAGAAGGAGGAAGGACTGCAAGTGCCCCCTTAGCCAATATTTTCAGACACTAATCCAGTAATCGGCACCCACAAAAACAGATTTAGTCACTTTCTTAAAGCAAGCTGGATGGTTCTCAACACGAAAGAATCTACAGTTTCTGGCGGGATTCAAACCAAACACTGTGAGAGGCAAGAAGTTCAAAGCCATTGACCTTAACCATGCAGCAATTATAAAGACCCTGACCTCATGCTAAAAGAAAATCTATAGGTTCCTATAAAGGAATATTTGAGAATTACTATGACAGTTTGAAGAATATAGTAATCTGTTGCAAGATTTGAATGAGAAGTTTTGGACTCTGGTGGCCATAACCTCATGAAATTTAAATCAAAGACCTGTCCTGTTTTGAATTTTGGACAGTGCCTATTCTCAATTGAGGGAATTTTCATATCAAAAGTTTGAAAATGGGTTGATATGAACTTGATCCAGTTACATACATTTGAAAGCGATTTCTTGATCCAAGAAATAACAGGCAAGGTAATCATTTAAATGGGGTGATCAGTCTCCTGACATTAATGTAATTAATAAATAATTTATGAATCTCATTCAGATAAAAACTTTTCAATCAAGAAATAAGCTTTCAGCTGTAATCCTCTACAAAATGTTATGTAACATTCCACAGAAAGTCATGTGGAGGTATCACATTGATAACTACAAATATGCATTAACCTATAATCTCCTGAATTTTTTAATGGATTGGTCCAGGTTCCATATTTGGAACAGTCAAATATCAGTTTTGGGGATTTCAAGAAGAAAATGTATAGTCAGTTAGCCGACACAGTATAGAGCCTGGTCAGATAGCATAGGCTCTATAACTGCTGGCAATGGCTCATCCCTTTCGGTTTTAGCCGGTTAACTTGGTAAAGTTGGGACACTTGAAATCTTTCTACTCCAAGAAAAGCTGGGAAGTTGCTTTTATGACCGCAACAATGGCTGTATGTGTGACATAAAACAACTTGATATGTGGGAAGGATCAAATTCTTTGATGTGATAAATAATCTTTAAACATAACAGGAATTAATATAATAAAACATTTAAAATCCATCCCACTCACCACTATAAAATATGAATTTAAACTTATCATTATTTATGGCATACCCTTGTTAAACAAGTTGTTCAAACCCTGGCTTTATTATTACTCAACAGGGCAGGAATCTTGGTGATATCAGTACAAATTAAGATAAAGGTTAAGTAAGACTTCATAACAGCTGACATTTTGATAAAAAACATAGTTTTGATCCATGAAAAAATCTCTGTCTTGTCTTGTTTTCTCTAAATACTAGTGATGTTATTATAATAAATGACCTGCTGAATTCTTGTAATAGAACTGAATATAGTTTTAAATTTGGAAGAGTCCATTTGAAGGTAGATTGGATTTCAAATATCAAAGTATAAAAATTTGGCTACCTTAACAGTATTGAACCTGGCAAGACTGCATGGATGTACAGGCTGGCCTGGCTCTATACTAATGGCACAGGTCTCAGTATAAATCAATTTGTTGCTGTTTTGTAGATATTTTTAATTATTTCACATATATACCTTAATAATAAAACAAGAACAACACTTCTTTGTCCAGCAATGCCTGAAGTAATTTTTTTACTCCTTTGCCTTGATATATAAAGATACAGGTGTTGACAGACATAATTGGTAAACAAATTAGTAGATAAAGTAAACAAACAAAGACTAGTGACCCTGAGGCTTTGTTATTACTGACATACAATGTTATCATATTTGATCCAAGTCAGTCAATCACAAACTTGTTACCAATAAAAAACAACAACTGCACAGACGTCACAAAATATTGCATATTAAATTAGCTGATGTGTTTTTTGACATTATAATATTACCTAACGAAATTACTATCATTTTTTCATACAACTATAAATAGTAAATTTTGACTAGAAGTCACAATGTACTTGAATATAAACCTTTTCAATTATTCATTTGACTTTAAAACATTAATTAATAAGAAAATTAATGTGGTTTTATTTTTATTTTTACCTGCAAAGATCTTGCACTGTTATTTGAAACTGTTCATTGTTAAATCTGATTTCAAAATCAAAATGTTTTAATTAAGAAGTCAACATGTCTTGGCAGACAGCAGGAATGTGCAAGCTTAAGCCTAAGCCTAACTTACATGTTTGTTAAATTACAGGCACTTGGCTTGTGGATTTGATCCCTGTCAGAATCTCAACTACCTTTTGCCAGGAGCATTAAAACCGAGATTAATGAGACTCGATGTTGACCCTACCCAACCAACCCACCTTTAAGACAAATAAATTTCATTCTCTTACATTAAGCACTTATCATACAATCCATTAAAATCTTATTTGAACTGGATTAAAAACAAAAAAATCTTTCAATCTTTAAAAAATTAGTCTTGGTATGGGTAGAATACGTATTGCTACTCAGGTATCAACCCTAAAACTCTTGCCAGGGTTTGAACATGGGACAATAGCAGTATCCTACTTACAGCTAATATGCATACAACAAGAGCACTGTTAAAGGTTATCTGTTAAAAATTATAAGTTTAAAAGGGTCATAACTCAAGACTAGCTAAAACTGGAAAAAAATTGTTACACCAGGGCATAATCTTATTATATGGTATTTTATCAGATAAACAAGACAAGCAAAACATCTCTTTATTGATATTTTGACTTTAAACTGTCAATAAATGAGTAATGAGCCCTATTGCATGTATAGGTTTTTCCCTACATCTTACAGTGTCATCCACAATAAAGTACCAATACATTGTGCTTATTTCTGAAACACCACAAAGTTGTAACTGTAGTTTGTCTGTACATACAGTACTTTTAATTAGCTGAAAAATTTCCAAATATATATTTGTTATTTCGCATTAATCTTATTTGATTGGAAACATAATTGTTGCAATTGGTCCATCAATTTAAATGTTTTGAATAATTGAATTACAATTATACTGTTATTTGCACTGGTGCAAAACAAAATATTTAAAACACACCCAGGCATCTGTTAATGCTTATTCAATGTGTAGATACATATTGTGCCACACCTCACAAGATTTTAACAAAAGATTTCCACCTCTAAGATGATAATCATATTATTTTTAAGACACTGCATCACAGACAGTATATTTCTAGAACTTTGAGTTTGGATTTGTAACTTTTGTTAACTTGGTGATATGTCCTAATAATAAATATATATATATATATACATGGTATATCTGTGTGTGTTTTCACCTAAAGCTCTAGTCCAAAATATTTAGATGTATACTCTGAATTTGAAGCTATATTTTTACATTTAATTGAGTCAAATCTGCTATAATTCACATTTTGAGACAAATGTAAAACTGTAAAATAATGAGAAATTAAGAATGCAGAGTCTTTCAATGGACTACTAAAACTCTTGCATGCAGTAAAAAAGAAAAAATATAACCAAATACATTACCGAAAAATTCATCCCAGTGCAGAGAATTCCTGGAGCAATTTAGATTCTCCTTTCTAACATCATTTTTCCCAATGTTCTTCATGCCCCACTTTAAAAGAGATACTTTGTTATATTCACAAGGCACATGACCTTGACCTTTCATAAAGTTCTGAGACATTGTTACATCACTGTTCAAGTCCATATTCATTTGCTCATCCGATTCGAAATCATATCCACTATCTCTTGCATTCATGAAATCATTTACAAAGTTCTGATAAGCACATGCCTTCCCAACCCCTTGTTTAACAGAGGTGGTCGCCTTCCTAACCCCTTGTTTAGCAGAGGTGGTCATCTTAGCAGACTGAGGAGGTATGTTGTTACTACCATCAGCCTGACTGTCCTCGTAACAATGCGCCTCACAAAATAGTTCTGTTTTGTTGCAGACGTCACTTTTTATATCACAATACTCCATTATCAATGTAATTATATCTCCTTGTATCTCACACAAGCTTTCAAATTCATTATTTTATTGCATTTACAGTGAAACATATGCTGAGAGGAGAAAACCACAGTTTTTCAGTTTAAAATTTTAACCTAAGATGTGAAAAGATAAATTTGTCAATTAAAATTTAACACACATAAATAAAGAGAAAAAAATCAATCAAAAAAATTTATTACATCAGGATATACCAATTAATAAATCAAACATCGGCTATCTTTGTTCTTTATTCATAATCCTACTGATAAACAAGAAAGTATAAACATTGATTTTGATAAATTTAGCCCTGTCAAACCCTCAGGCAACTAAAAACTGTCTAGATACAATTAGTATGTCTATATATAAATCACACCTGTTCAAAAATGTAACTGACACAAAAATTGATATTCCCCACCTTACCCATATCCGCCACCTTAGACATAAAGGAAAATAAACACAATGGAAATTAGACATCACACTCTTAACTGAAACCATGTGATCAACTTAATACATTTACCAATTTGACATTTTACGCAGAATTTTAAATGTCACATAAATCACTCTCATTGTCGAGTATTAAGTCCATAAAGAGCATTTCTTTCATCAAAACAAAAAATAAAGAATTCACAACAATTTGGTATATTCTACAGAATACTTTAATTTATTTGAAAACCGAAAAATTATTTGCATAAAATTTGAAATTGAAGCTGCAAAAAAAAAAGACAAAGTAGTGAAATTTTATCCAGGAATATTGTCATAAAGAGATTATCATTTGACTTTATCACCTATGTTCCACTAAATCAGAGTAATGGACTTTGCCATGTCTTTAATTTGGAACTGTCCATTGTGAATTTAACTAAATAATTATGAAACATTGTATAGTCAACAGTAAAGAGCCTGTAAAATAAAAAAAAAAATGAATCCCTAACAAACGCCCATCAACAAACTTGAAAATATTGCAGACTCAGTTTGATTTAGCCTGTTCAAGGATGGAACAGTTACTGGAAAGTGCAAGTTACCATCCACGCCCCCTAGCACCTAGCAAGAATTAAACATTTAAACACGAAAATTGTGAAATTTTGAATTAAGAAACATCTGCAGATGTAAAAACTGCTGGCCAGGCTTAGATATGCTTGCCTGGCATTGAAATCCTAGCCGGGCTTGGATCTATATAATGTTAGCATGTGGCTGTCAATATAACCTGGTCAGTATATTGGTTATATGTTACCTCTGATTAAAACCGACAAGGTGAAACTGCCAAAAATATCAGCCACATAGAGCTAAAATATGTGCCATGGAAAGTTTATTGTTGCCAGATAGTGAGATAATAAATTGTCAATTAGCTAAGTATCATATCAAGGTAACATTCTGGAAAACATATGTGCCCTAAATATGTAATGATTGTCACTGATGGTCATTCATGTCCACCAAGTAACAGCTGATTTATTTCATATAAAATACATTAACCTACTAGAAATAGTGAAAACTGGAAATATGAAAAACTTTCTCAACACACTGAAGGCTGTTCAAGTTTAATTAAGTCTGTTTATGGAAGGAAATCATGTCCATGTAAGCTCTCTAAGCACAACCTTAAACACCATTGATCATTTAAGTATACAAATTAAAAATTTAGAAAACAACTGCATAAATATGTGGATTTCACAGAAAACACCAAATAATGCTTGGGTCCAAAACACACTGATGAATGATTAAATTAGTTTGTCAAAAATTAGTGTAGCTTAAAACATCGTTTAGATTTTCAGAATGGAAACATTTCAACGTCCATTTCTTAAAGTAAAAAATAAAAAAATTCATAAGCAATCAGTAATCATACCTGGTATACAAAAAGTCTAGCTAAAGACTGAGTAAAATGTTAAATATTATATTTCAATACTGAAATATCTTATTAAATATTACTGAAATACTATATCCACAATGTCTCATTTTATCAACTGCAATATTTACCAAAATGTAGCGATAATGTACAATACTTAAAGAAAAAAATCACAAAGTTATACTGTAACACTTAAGGCGAAATAAATGTATTAAATGTAGTAAGTAGCGAAATATTACAGCATTTTATTTCCAATAATTGAGGAAATAAAGAATCACCACTATTTAAATTGTAATCCATTTTAACTCCAAACTCACTAAAAAATAATTTCTTAAATCATGTCCATGACTAAAATCCATCCAACCAATCAAATAAGACACACAAAAAACACATCCAGGAGTGGTTCAGTATCACAGACACATTAGTGTATTGATTTTAAACAAGCTGTCAGCATCCTCCTGTCCAGTTTGACAGTGACAGAAAAGGTAGATAGATAGGTAATTGAATAACTGTCACAGTTAGTGAGAGACCACAACTTGCACATCTAATAAGCCAAAAAATATGCCTGTTTCCAATTTTGTATCCGACCCTTTAATTTTCGAAAAAAGTTCTTTTCGCATGGATATGATTACATGTGCACTTAAGTGTAACAATTACAAGGGCTCTCAGAAAATTATATTATTAAAGACATCGAGAAGGGAGGCAGGTACTTTTCACTTGTATTAATTTTGTACTTTCATGAGCAAGGTCAAGTACTTTCAACTAGTTTTTATCATTGTAGGTCCAACACTAATGCCTGTGGTCAAATCTGTCTGTCCCTTTTATCAAAAGGGTCATCATTGTGTATTGTAGTATTATTAAATTAACAAGATTACATCCCTTTTAAATGTTCGGGGACAATAATTTTTAAATGCGTAAAAGTCAACATACCCGAGGGGACTTACTGTAAACAGATGTCATAACAATTATTTGAAGATCTCTTTCATTTGTCTGACCAAATATGTTAATTTTTGCCTAAGGGATATAGACAATTTTAACGGCCTTTGCTCAAAATATGTACAGAAGGAATGAAAAACTTTATTCAATGGTTTTTCTTTTTTGCAAGGTCTGCATAATTTGTAGGGAGGAAAAATTTTTCCTCCCTTCAAATTATGCAGGACGGTACAAGATATTTTCATGCAGAAGAATATGCTTTGACAAATAAGTGTGTATTATTACGTCTTTTAAAAATTTGCATACATAAATTTGTAACTTAAGTTGTAAAATATTTTATTTCTAAAAAATGGAAATCATCGATCATGACTTTTGCCAGTATTCATCTCATTATTGGGCTTCCATTTGGTCATATGTCAAAAGAATGCTTTCCGTCAAATTGTTGCTTTTACTGGGGCAATAAAATATAAAAGGGATAAGCAACTAACTACCTGACTAGATATAAACAAGTCATATATTGCTGTTGAAATGATAGCCAATCAATAGATAAAAGTGGTGTTTAATTAATATAAACTCAATATTTTTTTTACAAATTTTCATAAAATCATTGTTAACTAAACGACTGTTAAAATCCTATGCCATTATGGGCTTATGTATTTTTCATTTACACTGTTTACTACAGACAAAAAATACCCGTTTTACAAGGATCAAGATTCGAAGACACATGTTGACGAGTGCGCCTGATTGTACTAAAAGATAATGTGGCGCTAATATTCAGTTGCCTGTCACTTTAAATTATGTCCTAGTTTTTACTGAAATACCCACTGTAGGGTGAAATAGTACTAAAATAAAGAACGCGCCCAAAGGTTCCTTAACCAGAAATGGTGGAAAGGCTGCAAATGACTGGAATTAGCAGAGCTGCAGCAGCCTTTCTTGTTTTGCTGCGGTTTTACGTTGCACCAACACTAAACAAGCAATCAAAATACTAGGGGAATAAAATTGATGTCCCTGCTTTTTTCAATGATTAATTCTAAATAAAGAATTTACGTCAATACCTGCAAGCTTAAATTTTTGCAAAAGTAGTAATTAAATAAATTATGTCTCATGACCTCTTGTGACCCACTGAAATGTTCGAGATGTCTTCAGATGATATAAACACAGTGACAAATATAGCAAAAATTTTCTGTCATCAGTAATATTTCACCATGTTACATACCACTAAACGAAAACCTTTTTCTCAATTTTATTGATGACTAAACTTTATTGATGACTATTGACCCGGTCGTTTGATGAACTGAAGTCAAAGATTTAACTATAAAAGTAGATAGGGTATTGGAAACATCAACATTGCAAAAATGACATTATTGAGATATTCTAAGGTCACTGCTTTTGCTTAAAAAACTGAAAATGCCTTACTCAGCATTATTTCAGACAGGACAGACACTCTAGTAAAACAAAATCTTCAGTAAAGTACCTGGATTATATGTTCCCTCACATAAAACAATTTGATGTTGTATTTGATTTTAAATCTAGGCATCATGCAAGGATCTTAAATACACTACAATCTGCAACCCATTCTGCTAATTTCAGCTGCATTTAAGATAATATACCATATTAAATAAAAAAAAAATTTGCTTCAACAAGTTATGGAAGCAAAAAAAGGATATTCTAATCACCATTCCAATGTTACGAATATATATCATATAAATTATATATTTTGTAAGGTAAGAAATTATAGCCAGCAAAACCATGGAAACAATTTACTTGTATTTATTGACTATATAGTCAGATTAAAATACCTTCTTAAATACTCCACAGAAGAGCTGCTATATAAAACAACTTTTAAAATTCAATCCTAATTTAACAGGCAATATATCCATTCAAATGATCCACTGTTGAGCATGCAAACCCAAATTAACAACAGAATGTTTTCGCTATTATTTTGGAAAAAAATTATGACACAATTAATCTCAAAATCCCTGAACAAACTGCCAATTCAATTTCTGTCCATGTGAATATTATGTGCACTAAAAATATAATATTCATGATCTTTAAAATGCTATCAATGGGAACCATCTGAGGTATCCAGATACAAAATTCAAGAAACTCTGGAATGTATACAAACATTATCAAGTACAAGTGAAGTGTTTAAGTGCCATCGAAAAAATATCCTTGAAAATTGAACGAAAAAAATAATTTCATTTTAAGAGATTCTGTCATGTTAGGAAAAATACTAATATCTAACAATTAATAAATTACAAAAAATAAAAATTAAAAAAAATAATATTATTTTCCGATTTTTTTTTTGGTCATGCGTGAAAGTGTGTGTAAGTTTGGTTGTATGATTACAGATTTTCAATCCTGCACACCACATAGTGTCACCAAATTGCACATTATTTAATTGTAAAAAAAAAAGACTCAATTTATATATGTACAAAATCGTTGTCTTTAGGATGAATGAAAAATGAGCCATGTATTTTATCTAAACAAATACTTCATGTTATGTTAGCAGATCTTAATAAAGATAAACACTTATCTAATTTGGTAATTAGAGAACACTTTGATGTACATTAAAAACACATTAAGAAACTTTCACATATCATATCTCCAGCAATCTGGACAGATTAAAATTCCGAAAGTAATTCATTTAACCCGAACTGTCAATTTTCATCATAAAATTAATATGTAAATAATTTTAGTTTATATTCCCAGTCTCATTTATAGCTCCATTCGAAAAAATTTAAGAACTATCAAGATTTCAGGTCAGCCACAAATATTTGTACATAATTATCTGAATTTTTTCAGGAACAATTCCGGGCAATGTATACTTTTTTTCAATCAAACTCACAGAAC